ACAAGGGTTTGCACGAATATTATTTTATAACTAACATATCTTAAGTGGAATGAATGACTGCAATAATTGATAATGGTATATGAGATGTTGTTGGTATTTAAATGTGAATAAGCCTTAACGATGTTGAATGTGAATGTACTTGTATGCACAATACTTAAAGTTGTCATATATTTTGTTAGTGCTACCTTATGCCTATAATTGTTATACATGAGTAAAGTGTATTCTCACTCCCTATTTATTGATGTTGTTGTATGTGTTTGGGTTAATCGTCACTTGCAGGATTAAACTGGGTACAAGGGAAAGAATTTGATGGAGGTGAAGCTTAAAACTTTCTTGGTTACTTCAGATCTTCACTCTGATAGTGTGATAATAGGGTAGAGAGTCTATGTTTTTGCATTTGTTGTTAAGGCTGATTCTATTTTTAGGTGTTTCCGATCTTTTGTTAAATTTATGTAATCAAATGGTTTGTGTTTCCTTATGAACTTATGTTAAGTCTTATCTAAGTTTTGGTTAAGGAGTTTTGAATTAAGTTTTGTGAATCCTTTTACTATAAAGTTAAAGTTAAATGTGTTGCAAGGTTTTTAATTTACTAGTTTTTATTGTGAAAATCTTTATTTATTATGTTTTAAGATAGAAGGATGTCACATATGCACACTGAGAAAAGAGAAGAAAAGGAATAAAACAAGAAAAATAAAGGAAAAAAGAGAAAAGATACAAAATTTTCAATCATTAATTTTAAAAAATGACAATCGTGTAACTGAAATTTGCTTTCTAATGGTGGAGACATGATAAACTAGACCCCATTCTAAACACAATCATTCAATTCAAAGAACTTGATAAAATGTTTAAATTGACTTAAAAATTGAATTAAGGGTGTGTTTGGATGAAGAATTTTACAAATTTAAAGAATTTTAAATTCTTGGTATTTGAATTACTTTGATTTCAATTTCTATCATTCTTAAAATATTTTGTTTGGATGAGTCAATTCAAATTTCTTAAATTTTAAATTGTTAGGTTGAATATGATAATTTGATTCCATCATAGTAAAACTAATTTTAAAAATATATTTATATGTTGAGATTTTTAAATTAAATTTTATAAAAATAAATATTAATTCATTTTTAAATATTTAATAATTTTAAAAATTAATATTAGATAATATTTAATAATTTTAAAAATTAATATAAGATAATATTTAATAATTTTAAAAATATTTTTGAATATCCAATAATTAAAAGAATAAAGAGATAAGATAAAATATATAGGTGAAATAAGAAAAATAAATATGAGGAATTTCAAATTCTCCCATTTTTGGGAGAATTTGAAATTTTACTATTTTAAGGAATTTCACAAATGCTTGGATTTCAAATTCTTTGTAAATTCCTCATCCAAACAAAGCATTTTACCTCAAGGAATTTGAAATTCTTCAAATAAATGAATTACCCTATCAAAATTCCTCATCCAAACACACCATAAGATTTTTTTCCTTTTCTTTTTACAACTTCTACCTAATTTTATGAAGACAACCAATAGTGATTTGTTTTGACTAGCAAGTTCGAGATATCATAATTATTTATATAAGTTAACTACTATGTTACAATGAATATTAATATTCTTGAAGTATACTTAATTTAAAACTTTTAATATAAATTAATTGAATAATCTGGATATCTTTGTTCTATAAAAATTCTGTGTATGTCTGACTTTTATTTAAAAAATTAATTGAATAATTTATTTAAAATGCATAACTTTAACCCAGTATTGTTAATCAATGAAAAATACAAACTCATAAATTAATTTCAATAATAATATCTTGCATATATTATCAAATTAATAATTTTTTTTAGGGGAAATTAATAATTCAATAAATCGGTATACATACTATTTTGTCCGCAACTGAAATTATACCTAACCCGCTACCAATGAATTAAATTGGATCAGTCACTACTGTCAGGACCAACCGGCCAATGTTGTAACCATTTAGTTGTTATTTATTATATTCTTTTTTTTAGGAAAAATAAACATTCATTAAAATATTGGGCAACAAACGATTATGCAAAATAATTTTATATTATCATTTAATTAAAATTATTATATATGATAAATTTATTTGAAACATTAGAGTCAGTTCAACGATTAAAAATTAAAATAATATATACAAAGTTTAATTAATCATTTAATTTATATATATATATATATATATATATATATATATATATTTTAACAATCATGTTACTATTTTATCTGTTTGATTGTCGATGATGTTTTTCTTATATATTGTAGATATCATCTCTATAAAATAATAACAAGATTTTAGCAAATATTGATTTAGTCAAATACGTAGGATACCGATTTTGAAAGTCAATCACCAGTCTTTAGTAAGAACGAAATATTTTAATTTATTCCATGAAAAAATTCCTTCGTCTTCAACCCTTTATTTTGTATATGTTAATAGATATCGAAAATAATGTTATATTATATTATATTTTATATATATGTGTGTGTGTGTTTCCAAAACTTGTGGAGATGAAATTTGGTGATCGAAGAGTTAATAACGTATCTTGATATTTTGAAAAAAATAATGTGTTCACATCGTTGAGACTTGAGAGGTTATTGTATAACGCAAATCAAGCAGAGTTAATTATACTAATGAAACAACGGATATGATAGTAAATATATAAAACGTGTCTTGTTTAAAAATTGATTGTGTTCGTTGAATGAAAATTGTGTCTATATTCTATTTATTGAGGTATTTTTGAATATTCTTTGAAGTGTATAAACATTTCATCTCAAATAGAAGACCTAAACTAACAGCATAATAGATTGAGAATACAGTTTCCTCTTCACCCGATTCTAACCAAATCCGCAACCTCACCACATTTTCCTCCTCACAAATTTGTAAAATAAAAAACAACACAAACAAGACAGGTAGAATACACAAACACATCACGCAACATCTATCTACTAACATTTGAAAAAATTACGTGTGTTTAATTATAGTTTACAAAATGAAAGTTTGGTTGAAATTAACTTTAAAAACTGATGAAGCCTAGGTAAAAGTAGATTTAGAATAACTTTATTTATATTAATTTAGATACTTTTATTAAAATGAAACTTGTTTGATGATATTAATTAAAAGCACTTTCAAATATATAATTATTAAAATGAATATGAATTTTATACTATAATATTAATATTATTTGTTTTATTATATTTTAAATATATTTGAATTGATAACATATTATTATAAAATAAAAATAATAAATTTTAAAAATGTTAAAATATGTACATGAAAAACATAATTTTAATTAACCAAATGCAGTATAAATAACTGATAATGAGTTGTTTCTTATTATTATTTTGAAAAAACCTGCAACTATAATGAAAAATCAATGCAATTATTGAAGCTTGTGATTAATTTTTCATCTATAAAAAAAGTGTCCTAATATTTAAACATATATTATTATATTTTGATTGTAATAATCCTTGAGTGTGCTAATGCTTCCTTTCATCCTATCCAATGCAAAAACAAGGGAATTCAAGCTTTGAATGGAACAACTATTTTGAGAGAGATGATATTCAACTCAACGAAATATAAAAATATCCAAATATACCGATATCTTGTAAAATGAAGATTAAAGGTTGGTTTGAGAAACCAAACCTAGAATCAAGCCAACTCTATATATGCACTTTTGAAATTTAAAAGACATACTGCATTAGTTGTACTAAAATCAATGTAATATATCTTTTTCTACGTAACTTCAAATTCAAACCGATATACCCATTTTTAAATTGATTAAACTACCTGTTTATACTTACGATTAATATGAAAATCAATATATTACATTAGTTAAATCACAATCAATGTAGTATAGTAGCTTTTAAATATAAAAATGTTAATATTACATCGGTTGTAAAACAATTTATATAATTAATATCTTGACATTATATCTTTATTTTACATTAATAAGAATATGTTGTTAACATTTCTTTTCAATTTTATATAATGAAGTTTTTGGCTAATAAGTTAATATTCAAATGATTTTTATCCTTATATATTCAGAAATTTATATATTAATCTTAACATATTTTAACGACATTATGTTAAATAATTTCAAAATAATATAAATTCTATAAATATGATTTACACGGTAATATTTTTCAATCCAATAATAGATTTTACAATATATTTTTTATTTATTACCGGGGGATAAATTTTATAATATAATTATCTTTTAATGATATTTAATAGTTTAAAAAGAGATTTATTCCACTAATAAATAATTTCTTATAGAAATACGAATCGATAAAATTAAATTTCCAATTCATAGAACATTATTAAACTAGGGAAGATTGGTAAGATTCCGTTTTGAAGAGGATCCATGCCCATGTGTTTCTGAATATAACATGATTGATAAAAAAAAAAAAAAAAAGTTCACTGTAAAAAATTTAATTAAAATTCACAGCTATTAATCGGGCTCGGTTGACTGTAGCTCCATTATTGAGATGAATATTTTAACATCACATGTTACATGTATCATATTCCACAGTCCCAGCTCCAGGGTGGCACATTCACGATTGAAGATTTTCTTGAGTCTCTCTTAGTATATTATATATATTTCAGATCATGTACCAATTTTGAATGATATAATTAATCCTTGTCAGTGTTCCCATCCAACGCACAACAAACTGGGAAGATATATCTATATAATAAATATATGCAATTTGATTTATAATACAGTCAAATAAGAAAAAAAGAATAAAGTAGTTGATGTAATTAAAAAAAGAGTTAAAATAATTATATTATTATATAACTACTGAAAAAATATTAAATAATAATATATATAAATCGCAACAATGGCAGCAAAAATTTATAAGGGGAGCTAGTAGATTGTCCACACGTGCTTTATTTCTTAATAATAAATAATAAATAAATCCCCTTTGTTCATAACCCTTGCTTACTGGGGTAGTAGGGGCAGTTGAGGAATTGAAAAGCTACACAACTACGGCTATAAAGAGTGAACATAGTTAACTTCTATTCCACACCGAGTGAGATTGCTATAGCTCTGAATAGCAGTCGTTTTCAAGAAGCTAAAGTAGAATACACATAGTATTTCAGTGACCCCTAGGTATCATGGAGGAATTAAACAAACCAATGGATGCATCAGCAACCAGCTGGTTATCTGATTTGGTAAGAATTTCATTTTCATTTTGATTCATCCAATCTTCAAAAGCACGAATGGATGTTTATAAGTGCTTTAGGCTTTAAGACATTGTTGTGATTTTATTTATTTATTTTTATTAAATTGCAGGAAATGGATGATTACAATTTATTTCCAGATGAATGTCCCCTGGACTTGAACTTGTTTGATTGTGATGAGCAAGAGTTTCTTTCACAAGACATAGCTAGTGCCCTACAAGAGCAGACACAGACCCTGCACCAATCTCTGTCTTCGGATCAGTGCCCTTCCAAAACCATGAGCAACTCATCCACTGATGAAAGCAATTTTGACTTTGAGAGACCAACCAAGTTGCTGAAAACGACAAGCAGTAGTTGTAACTCTGACTCATCCAACATCACCAAAACCCTTTCACCAAAACTTTCCCCATCATCTTCCTTCTCCTCCTTCCAGTCTCAGATTCTCTCCTTTGACAACCCAAACTCATCCTCTGCCAGCAACACCCAGTTTTACGGGTTTGACTGTGCTTTAAACCCAACACAGACTGATTTGGTGTCAGTGCCAGTGCCCCAATTAGGAAAACAGCGTTTACCAACTCAAACACCAAAAGGATCCCCTAAAACTCAAAACTTTGAAACAAAACCCTCACATGGTAAGAGGTCTCCTGCACACGCTCAGGATCACATCATGGCCGAGAGAAAGCGAAGAGAGAAGCTCAGCCAGAGTTTCATTGCTCTTGCAGCTCTTGTTCCTGGCCTAAAAAAGGTAAATAACTAGAATATCATGCTGCTACCTTAGTTCCTAAATCAATTATTATGATGTTAATAATTAGCTAATGACATCACATTATAGTACCATGATGGAGATCAGTCTCTAGATTAATGGAGACTAAAGAAAATCATGTTAAAATTTCAATTGATTCTTGGACCAAAACATTAATTGAGTTAAAGTTATTTCAAGTAACTTTTATATTTGATGCGAAATTTCATACCATAATTTACAACTAATTTAGGCTTAAAATAAAAACATCTAGTACTTGAAAATCAATTTTAATGAATTTTATTCAAACACACTTGTCATAAATAACTCATTAACACACTTGCTTGGTTACTCTTCTAACTAATCACGTGGAAAATGTGTTGATGCACACAGATGGACAAGGCTTCTGTGTTGGGGGACGCTATCAAATACGTGAAAGAGCTTAAAGAGCGATTAGCTGTGCTGGAAGAGCAGAGCAAGAAAACAAGGGCAGAGTCTGTGGTGGTTCTGAACAAACCAGACCTCTCTGGCGATGATGATTCCTCTTCATGTGATGAGAGCATTGGTGCTGATCATAGTGTCAGTGAATCACTGTTTGAAGTTGAATCAAGGGTATCGGGGAAGGAGATGCTGCTTAGGATCCACTGTCAGAAGCAAAAGGGTCTTCTCGTCAAGTTACTAGCCGAGATTCAAAGTTATAACTTATTCGTTGTTAATAGCAGTGTCTTACCCTTCGGTGATACTATCCTTGACATCACAATAGTTGCACAGGTAAAGGAGAATCTCTGCCTTATTATATACATTGTGTTGATTAACTTTTGTTCTCACTCACACCCTTGCTTTATTTTAATAGTTTAAGCTATGTGTATAAGCTATGTTGAGATATTAGTACATTCTCTTTTCTTTTCGATGTGATCATAGTTTAATTGTATTTGAATGTTTATTGTTGCAGATGGGGGAGAGTTTCAATTTGACCACGAAGGAACTTGTCAAGAACCTACGCCTGGCTGCATTTAAGGCAATGGCATAAGATGAACGTGGTTTAAGTATGGGGGATAGCATGAAAGAGATAAACTGATATGACATGGATTGAATCTCTGAATCACATTCAATGCACACAAGTGTTCGAGTAATTCATCCCAAAATGGAAGCTTTAATATGGGATATCTGCTCCAGCCTGCAGTGTTCCCCCACATGTAGATTCAGTCCCATCCAAGTGATCTTGTCCTTTTTTCTTGTTAATAATGTTTTGGTTTCTCAGGCCTAGCCTCAGTGTGTGCCTGCCCTCTTCACAGGAAAAAAACAATTGAATAATTTTGTGGAGATGTGAGGACTTGGAGTAATTTCAATCTGACACGGCTTAACATGAGTTTAAATAGAGATTTTAAATCGGCATATTGACTGCTTTTGATGTACAATGTGTTCTTTTCAATGTTTTCATCGTGTTTCAACTTTCAAGGATGCAAATTTGACCATGTATGAAAGACATTTACTGTAAGTAGAATGTACTGGGCTTAAGCTTCTATCTTTGGGAACTTTTATTTAACAAATAAAATCTCACTGTATATATTTTTTCAACAAAAGATCTATAGCATTAATGGTGCGAATATACTCTCCTGCTAATCAGTAATCACCCACTGGTAACGAAATGAATTTATAAAAGAGAATAACACTAATTGTGTGTTTTTGGGAGAGGTGATATAGTAGAAGATGAATAAGAAATGGAAGCATTATCAGGAAATTAAAAAAAAAAAAAAAAAAAAAGTGTTTGGAGAAGAGCTAGGATTTAAGTGGGTGAGAGAATATTATAGTAGAGTTTATGTGAATTTACTTCCTTTCTTATGGGTGAATTTGTGTAAAATTTTTCACACAAAATAAAAATGTTTGGACAAAACTTCTCTATACCATTATCTAAATATATATTTGAAAAAAGTTAATAAAATATAAAAATGTAATCATTTTAAATAATTTTATTTTTACATAGAAATATTATATAAAATACAATTTTTAGAACATTAATTTCTCTTTATTTTGTACATAATTTTGTTCTATCAAACAACTATTACTCTATTTCACTCTATTTTCTATTTATATTTTTTTTATTTAATTCTTACTTATTCCCTTCAATTATTTCCCTCCTCCAAACAAAACATAAACAGTAATAAATTTATATGAATAGTAATGAATTTTAATATAATTATTAATTACCATATCTATTTCTTTTTATACTAAAGATATTCTCTATCTGTCTCATCTAGCTTAATTAGTTATTAACATTGTTAATATGCTTAAAAAATTCGGCTATCTAACAACTCTCTGACCTTGTTTCATTATTTGGAATTTTTTAAAATCAGTTTCATTGTTTCCATATAAGTTGGTTTTGTAATTCACATTTGTGGCATCTAAACATAAATATATTTATAAATGTATAAATCTTATAAAAAAAATGAAATATAAATTTATAAGTTATATTCTTAATTGTTTTTACTCTTATTTTATGTATATGATTTTTAGTTTTATTAGTGGAAAAATAATATACATATAAGATATTTAGGCTATTAATATCTTTTGGTATATATTTAACATATTTGTTATGTATAGTCTCTTCATTAGCTTCTTGATTTGTAGTTAGCTTCCATAACAGTATAAGGTTATCTAGTTAACCAAATTCTTCTTATATATAATAGAGGGGCAACCATATAAAATAATTCTCTAAAACTCTTGTTCATATTTTGGCATGGTATCAAGAACGAGATTAATTATTATTATTGTTGAGCATCGAGGGGGTTATCCTACACATATACACATGTCTCCACATTGGTGACATTGGTGAGATATTGTCCGCTTTAGGTCCAAGCCCTCACGATTTTACTTTTGGACATCACCCAAAAGGCCTATCAACCAATGGAGACAACTATGTGTATATAAACCCATGTCCATCCTCTTGTTTGAATGATGTGGGACTTTGCTTGCATCCCAACAATCCTCCCCTCAAACAAAGGACCACAGTTTACCCTCTCTTGCAGCGGAAACTACGAGTATTATCCGATGGTGGCCCCACAAAGCTCACTCACGCTCAGAGTGCTTGCACCGCCGCTTCATCATGACCCCCTCAAACAAAGGACCACAGTTTACCCTCTCTTGCAGCGGAAACTATGACCTCCCTCATGATAGCGGGACACACCTCCTAACCCTCCATGTTACTGGGAAGCCTCTCTTCCACATGGACCCACCGTTAGGAAGACTTTCGACACAAGGGATCCCAAAGTTGGATCCACTTGCCAGCCATCATACTTGTCGAGCCGGTCACCTGATCAGACCATTGGCTCTGATACCACTTGTTATGACAATATGTAAAAGAAAGAAATCAAGAGAAAGAAGACGACACACAAATTACATGGTTCAGTCAGTGTGACCTACGTCCACGGGCAGTTCAAGAGTTTCTTATTTCTGAATGAATAGAGATGATGAAACAGATACCTTTTAGCCTTGTAACAAGGATAAAATATAACAGTCTCATTACAACCCAAATATAGATAGAAATAGTAACGGACAAGATATAAATTCAAGGCATCTCAACAATTCTCCACCTTGACTTGAATTTTCCCAAGTCACCAGTAATCAAGAACAACTCTCCTGCCTATTCTCCCCGAAGGGTCTCAAGCGATGCGAACATTCACCAAGTCCAAGCTATACTTAAACTTTTCAAAAGACAAAGGTTTAGTCAACATATCTGCTGGATTGTCTACAGTAGCTATCTTTTCTATGGAGAACAATTTGTCTTCAATTACATCTCGTATGAAATTCAATCTGACATCAATATGCTTTGATCTTTCATGATAGACTGGATTTTTTTCCAAATACAAAGCACTTTGACTATCACAATAAAGTATACGTCTCTGCACATTCAAACCCAAACTATCAATAAGACCTTGCAAACATATACCTTTTTTAACCCCTTCTGTCAAGGACATGTATTCCGCTTTAGTGGTAGACAAAGCAACAATAGGTTGAAGTGTTGCTTTCCAACTAACAGCACAACCATAAAGAGTGAAGATATAACATGTCAAAGATCTTCTCCTCACGAGATCTCCACCATAGTCAGAATATGCGTAGCCAATAAGACAACACCCAATATCATTAGAACCATAAACTAAGCAGATATTACTAGTACCTTTCCAATATCGCATAATCTACTTCACAGCCTCCCAGTGAGCCTTTCCAGGATTACTCATAAATCTACTAACCACACTCACAACATGAGCCAAATCTGGTCTTGTACAACCATGGCATACATTAAGCTCCCAACAATTATCATAAATTTTTTTCTCATTCACAATAATGTGTGATAAGGGTGTTGGTGGTAAGTGTCTCTCTACTAGGTGGATACTAGACACTAGATGTTTGAACCACATGAGCGGGGATAAGAATTTGTTCACAACCTTGTTGGATGTGCCATCTTCCTTGATGGGTTTACCAAATGGTAAACAAGCATTGACAACACAAGAATGAAGTGTAGTATTGGATGCCAATTTGACGTTGAATGGCGTTTTATATGTTCCCGAATTAAACTGCAATTTGATATCTATCTCACAATTACTTACTATCTGTAATTCGTATATCACTTTCACTAATAAGCTTTGTGTGATATAGGACCACAATTCGAGGACCTTGATTGGAGTGGGTGAACAAAGTGACAGGGTTTATTGGTCCAAGCCGCAATAACGGATTCGGGCTTATCAAATGATTGTTCTAGGAACGTATGAATTATGACATCAATGACTTGGACATCTTTCACAAAAATTTGTGTCTCTCTTACCTTTCTTTTCGAGTAATGACAATAAAACTCATAATACGAGCAAAGATTTTTGTGAGTTTGTGAGTGTGAAGTTTGTTTACGTACACATCAAACTAGAAGTGTTTTTCCTTTAAGTGATCATAAAGACGATGATATTTAGGGTGATTATAAGGTTGCTTTTAGTTGTGATGCATTTTATTTTTTCATGATTGTTGATGACTATTCAAAATTTGTATGGATATATTTAATGTCTACGAAAAGTGATGTGGGACAATTAATTAAGGACTTCTGCGCTATGGTGTAAACTCAATTTAATAGACATGTAAAATTTTTTAAGGAGTGATAATGATGGTCTTGAATTTACATGTTTACAATGATGTTATGCTAAAAATAGAATTTTGCATCAAACTTATTGTGTTGATACGCCACAACAAAATGGTCAGGTAGAAAGAAAACATCAACATATCCTTAATGTTGCTCGAGCATTACGGTTTCAAGATAATCTTCCGATACAATTTTGGGGTGAGTGTGACATCAATGCGGCCTATTTGATTAATCAGACTCCCGCCCCTGTGTTACAAAACAAATCACCTTACGATATCTTGTTTGGGAAGTCACTTAATTATTCTCTTATTCGTGTATTTGGGTGCCTATGTTATGCGAATAATAGATCCAAAGTGAAAGATAAATTCAGCGAACGATCACAAAAATGCATATTTGTGGGATATTCGTTTGGCCAAAAGGATGGAGACTTTATGATTTGGAGAAAAAGGTTTATTTTGTTTCAAGGGATGTTAAATTTGTGGAGAATATTTTTCCTTTTGATGAAAATGCCTTGATTGCAAATGTGGATGATGTGCATCTAAGTGATATTTCCATTCCCAATGAGCTTTTTTTTATTATAAAATGATGGTAGTACTATTGAGGTCAGGGGGAATGCAAATCTAGTAGAAAATAGTGGTAATGTGGTTGTTCTAACTGAACCAATAACAATAGCCTATATTTTTCCAATGTCAATCCTTTTGCCCTCCATGGCCCTAATAGAACCTTCACCTGATGATTCAACTCCCCAAATGAGGACTTTGGTAAAGGTCACTGTGTTCATTTTCCATCAACTTGGCTCAAATATTTTGTCATCAACATTGCTCATGTTCTTGACCTCGTCACTATGATAAGTTTACCCCCTTCAATTGGTTCACCTCCTTCAATGCAATCCTCAAGTACATCCCTACTAGTTTGTCCAAAGAAAAAAAAGAAGAAATATTTAATATCTTAATAAAGATGTGAGATTGCCTTGATGAATCTCATAAATTGTGAGGAGAGGGATTGAATCTTCTATGAATGCTAACTTCGAAGCAACAATAGCGTTAGTGGTGGGTATGTTTGGTCAGTTAGTTGCTGACTAGTGCCCTTGCAGGTAGTGCTTCGGGGAGCTATTTCCTATAGCTTATTATGTCAATTGTGATAAATTCTTTGTTAGACACAAACAATTTTTGGTAGCAGTTACTACAGGTGGTGAACCCATCTTGTTTGCAAAGGCAAATAAGAATCCCAAATGACGAGTAACAATGAAAGATGAGATAGATGCCCTTGAACGTAATGGCATGTGGACTTTGGAGGATTTGCCTTCAGGAAAGACAACACTCAATTGCAAATGGGTTTACAAAGTCAAGTATGAAGATGATGGCTCAATTGAATGCTTTAAAGGTGGTCTAGTAGTCTTTGGCAATCAACAGATACCTAGAATTGATTTTTATAGTGGTAGTAGCTCATAATTGGGAACTTCATTAGATGGATGTCCATAATGCTTTTCTTCATGGTGATTTGGACGAAGAAGTATATATGAACTTGTCTCCAGGTTTTCAATCTCCTTTACCTGGTAAAGTGTGTCATCTAAGGAAGTCATTATATGGCCTCCAACAGGCACCTCAACAGTGGTTCACAAAATTATTCATAACTTTGAAGC